GTGTGTGAGTGTGTCTGTGTGTGAGTGAGTGTGTGTGTGAGTGAGTGTCTGTGTGTGTGAGTGAGTGTGTGTGTGTGTGTGTGTGAGTGAGTGAGTGTCTGTGTGTGTGTCATGTAGTAGCATTACGTTTAGGCCCGCGATGCGGGCGGGCCTAAGTAAAACAGGACCTATTTTTGGGGGATATTTTTACTTTCCCGTATACGTACGTATATGCGGGGGTAATATAGGGTAGTATAAGGAAGTAATGCAGCGGAAAATCGATTTCGAGATTTCGCCGGAAATACAGGTTTTGGTGTCCCCTGATTCCTAAAAAGTGTTTCTCATCAAAACGTCCAGCTGTCCGTCCGTATGTGAACACCATTAGGGCCTAAACCATTCATAGAATTTTTCCAAATTAAAGAAACCCGTGTCGATGTGACTTGAGTCGAATCCCTGAGATTTTGGAAAAAAAATCTTTAAAATTTGGGGGTGCTTTATATGATGCTCTCGGACATTTTAAAAATCTTCTCAAAAACTGCTCCAAACTTTTTCTTTTCATTTCTTGAAGGGTAGCGTTAAATACGCTTATAAAAGTGGCATAGGTCCGATTTTCACAGTTAAATCTGAAATTTCAAAATTTTACTTTTTTTTCGGGCGTCTTCCTACAAGTACAAAATAAAAGATAGATTTGTTTTTCATATAAAATTTGTTCTTCATAGTGAGTTCTTTCATTAAGGTCATGTTCATTTTTTTGAAAATTTTAGTACTTTTTACGCACTACTGTGTGCAATCTGTGCAATTAAAAAAAATTAAAAAAATAAGATTTTCTGAAAAACGGCTCCAAATTTGTTTTTTTAACTTTTGGTAGGGATAGTGCTAAACGTACTCTATACGATGACAAAAACGCCTATTCTTTCGTTTTTTCAAAAATTACAATTTTTTTGACTTGCCTCTCATGTAGTTAATATTTATATTAGAGGCAATTTGTGCACATTATTGTATTTATGAGTACATGTGCTTTAAAACAGGTCGTATTAAGTTACTCGAAAACTCACAGTTTGCTGTGAAACTAGCTCAAAATTCCGCATTTTCAGAAACGCACGAACGTCATTTTCTCAAAAACGGCTCCAAATTTTTTCTTCAAATATTTAGAACGGATAGTGGTAATTAAACTCTTTAATATGGCTTAAAGTTAATTTCGGTGTACTTTTTTATTTTTTCAAAAATTACACAAATGTAAATTTTTTGAAACATCTCTCACGCCGTTGATATGCACATTTCCAGCAATTTGTAAATACTAATGCATTTGTGAGTTGAAGTACTTAAAATGACTTCAAAGTAAGGTTTTCGAAAACTTAAAAATTTTCTGTGAAAAAGAGCTTCAAATTTCGAATTTACAGTAGCGCCTAAACTCTAGTTTTTTTCAAAAACAGCTCCAAATTTTTCAAAGTAAATTGCCATTTAGGACGAGGTTTTACTGTCCTTTAATAATCTTAAAATAATATATCCGATCTACAATCAGGAAACTGAAAAATGAAGAAAATGTACTTTGGGCGGCGATACATGACAGCAGGCAAGAGTATGAGGCAAGTTCGAAAAGCTAACCGAGACCAAAGGAAATAGAAAACTAATACTGTGCTATTCTGTAGCACCACTATTTATTTAAGGTGCTAACACTACTTGTGTTTACAATACAGTTTCATAAAGAGGGCTCGGATAAAAATACTATATAATATTTTTATCTTAAATTTATGGGTTTTTTATCTTAACTCGCAACCTATGTCTGGAAACAACACCTCTTGTTTTGGCAACTGGGCAAGGCATGAAATAACTTTGGTATCCCTTTCACTTTCAGCGACCGACGGCCGCGAGCCCTCAGATTTCGGAGTGAGATAATGTGGCTAATTTTAGTTTGAAGAAAGAGAAAGCACTTACTCTGTCCTTGTTCTATTCAACGTACTGCAGCCACTACACTGAAAAGTGTAAACGCCTATCTCTTAGCAAATAGTGGTCAATTGAGCATTTACTCGACGGTCAGTTGTTCGCCATTTTAAGGAAATATATATGTTTTATTAATTATTTTCAATAATAATTCGGTTCCAATAGATCAGTGTTCGACAAAATTCGCGTTCTGGCGACCATAGCCGATTACGATAGAATAATTTAAAAAGTCTGACCAGATCTGGCCATACTCCTTGCATTGATCTCGCGAACACGGCCAACGTTCCAAGTCGGCAGAACAGTATCCAAACCAAACGAACTTCAATTGTATGCTGAACAGGACGTGGACGAAGATATCTCCTTAGTTTATGAACGAGACGCCCTGTGGAAGACATCCGACTCACGGTAACACAACAGTGACATCAACGGCACAATATGGTAGAAAATTTAAGAAGAATTTAGTGAAAGGCATTGCTGTCTCTGCTATATACGAACCTAACTTCACTATTGCCCTTCTAATGCGACGTTTCTTTTTCGAACATCACTCTTGTATCACATCAAACATATCAAAATCAACTATTAGCGAGCAGTTTTCATCTTTTCGCTTCCTTTACATGTCGCATATAAGTAATAATTTGAAGACCTGTCTGGTGCTGTCAAATAGTGATGCAACAGCGATGTTCAAAACTAAAACATCGATGTTAGTTAAAAGTACATCAACCAAAATCCATCAAGGCTTTTTTTTAAATGGATGTTTTAAAGTTGGTTTAGTAACCTATAACATTAAACTCGTGAGCATTAAAATTTAATTCGACATCGTTCGTGTTTATCAATTTGCCGAATTGGTACGAGAAAAAGAGGCAGACCCTACGCCCATAGCGTATTTGTTGACGACATTTCAATGTGCGACGTGAATATGAAGAAAAAGGAAATATAAGGGCATGGAGGTCATCGAGAGAGAGAGAGAGAGAGAGAGAGAGAAAGAAAGAGAGAGAGAGAGAGAGAAAGAAAGAGAGAGAGAGAGAGAGAAAGAGAGAGAGAGAAAGAGAGAGAGAGAGAGAGAGTGTGTGTGTGTGTGTGTGTTTCGTCGATGAAGGTAGTTCAAACGACGTTTCTTTGCTTACAATATATGAATAACAGTGTTACTATCAGTTATTGTTTCATATCTTAACTTTTACGGTATTGTTTTACTAGAAGTTTTTCATTCAGAAACAAACCATTGGAAAAGAAAAAACACCGATGGTAAATAAACATCGATGTTAACACACTGATGTTTCTACAAAAACATTGATGTTTTTAAAACATTGACATCGATGTCGCATCCCTACTGTCAAACTGAGTGCGACCACTTCGGTTCGGCAGAATCATTCGGCTGTTCGCGTCCAATTTCTTTCGTACGAACACTCTGACCGTATCCTTAATGTGCAATTGTATGAAAGTGCCAGTGTATAAATATGTGCGAATAGTTTTTTAAGATGGTAAGTGGAAATCTTCAAAAGATACTGGGCAACCTATACTATTCAGCAAGCGAGATTTTTGCTCACTAAAACCTCATATCATCTCCTCCACCCAATCCGCAGAAGAGTGACTCGGTTACCGGTCAAATCTCTCAAAACCAGTCGCCCAGAAGCATGAAGAAATCTCCACGTTTTCTTCCTCCAGCCTTCTTAACTGAGGCAGTAGTTTGTGAAAAATAGCGCATTGTCATTCAACTTCAGAGCCAAAGGAATCTCTTGCAGCGGGAATAAGCTCTAAGCTCCTGACTGGTCTCCTGACATGAATGGAAGAGTAGAGCACGTGGATAGGATATCGAAGATGAAGGA